GCTGAGTTGAGAATAATGCCAGCTGTGATGGTTAAGGTTATGAGTCAACTTGGCTGGGCCATGATTCTCAGTGGTGTGGCAGGTATGTAAATGATACAATGTGGCAGTTATACAATGATGTAATCATCCTCCATTTTGTGATCTTATGTGCTCATCCCCCATTTTTACGTAATGTTGATTTTCACATAATGTACTGGTCTTTGGAACCTAACCATGTCGGTAAGTGAACAGTGGGTATAATAAAAATGAGTTTAGAACTTTATGCATTTGAATATTAAACAAGGAATTCCATTTTTCTCACTCATTAATTCCTATGCTTAAGTTACATTCATTCTATATATTATTTATTTTGTAATAAAATATATCCTGTTCTACTATAAAAATATAACAGAAATTCTAAGCCATACCTGTTATCAAAGCTGTGTGATTTTCTCCACAAGAAATATGAGATATTTTCTGGCCATTAACAAGTTCAAGGACTCTGGGTTCTGATGCTTCAAAAACAAAAACACCAAGACCCAACTGGCCAAACTGTCCCAGCCCAAAAGTGTACACCGCTTTCTCTGAAAGGAAAGAAGCAGATATAAGAAAAGGAACATATGGAAGCTAATAGTCACCACTGGATCTAGAAAAATTGTGAAATTCTATCTTTTATAATGAAGGTTAAGTGCTTCTGAAAGAAATATCCTGTGCATATAAGAATATCTATAAAATTTTCAGTGATAAAAGAGGAGAAAAAATAAAAAGGCAGATTTGCAAAATGATGGCATAAGCTTGATTTTATCTTTTATACATAACCATAAAATAAAATAAGCAAATTACATTGCTCATAAGCAATATATATAATAATAATTTAAAAAAATGACTGCCATCAAGTTGGATCTTACTCATAGCAACCCCTCTTTGGGTTTCCAAGGCGGTATCACTACAGAAGTAAATTGCCCAACTTTCCTTCTGAAATATATATAACACAAGTTTTATATGTGGGTGAACTACATGAAATGTCCCTATAATTACTACTTTATTATTTAAAAATCATCAATTGTCATTAAGCAAATTCCTGTACTGCCTTAAATAAATAAAAAGAACAGTCTTCTACAGAAAAAACTCTTCAGTTTTAAAAGTAGTTTAACAGAATAATCTATTTTATAAAACACAATCTGAGAAAAGAATGTGCATGAGAATTAAAATGTAGGGTGGACAGGTTAGATTTATTCACAAGTAAAGATCTCTTTACTGAGAAATGAAATATTAATATTTTAAAATTGATTTCAAAGGACCACTAATAACTGTAAATATTAGCTCGTATGTTTTTTACAAATGGAAAAGCATAAAAACAAGATAAATGAATGGTAATGAAAGGGATCATATATGCACTTACAACTCCCAATGGCTCCACAATTAGGGAGTGCAGTGATTATTACTTTAGTATATTCCTCCTTGTGGTTAAGTGCCTGGCTTCTAACAGAAAGGCTGGTGGTTTGAACCCATTAGCTGCTCCACAGAAGAAAGATATTGGCGGTCTGCTTCTGTAAAGATTCCAATCAACCAACAAACCTGTTGCCACAGAGTTGATTGTGAATCATGGCAACCCTGCCTTGGAAACCCTCTGGGGCAGGTCTACTCTGTCTAAGAGGCTTGTTATGAGCTGGAATGAACTAAGAGGCAAAGGGTTTTTAGTTTGGTTTATTCTTCCCTAGTTCAATGCATTGACTATGTCTCACTATAGGAGGAAGAGCAAGAGTTCTGGCTTCAGGTAGGAACCCAAATCTTCATTATTACTAACTGTGGCAAGTAGGCAGGTTACCTAAATTCCCTGATATAATAATACCTATCTACTAAAGCTGTTATGAGGATTAAATCGAAAAACATTCAAGCAGATTCTAAAACATTCAGTTGTAAAGAATATTTTTCTAAAAAGTAATCATCTAATCAACTCATCTCATTCTGACAATAAGGGTACTGGTGAACACAAAATTATCTATTGTCATGTAAATAACATCTATTTACATTATTATTTTTTCTGTCTGGTAAACCATGTTGGCTTCCTAAGTAGGATGCACAGACACTAATCCTTAAAGAAAATATGTTGTGCCAAGTATATGAAGCCACATTGAGGCAACAGTAAAACAGATCCTTATTTTAATGCAAAAAATACCATCTCCTAGTTGAATTTATAATCACACTGTGTGGTAGGTAAGGCTGTGTGTCAACTTGGGTAGGCTGTGTGTCAACTTGGGTGGGCTGTGATTTTGAGTGGCTTGGCAGCTGGAGGTACTTATTCCCCATGATGAGACTGGATGTGTTGTGATCACCTCTATGGTGGAATCTGCTATGAGCAGTTAAAAAAGTAGAAGGAAAATTGCCTTCGGGGTGTGGCCTGCTTATAGAAGATGTAGAAAGGATCCTGCATTTGGTTCAGTCTTCATCTCCAGTTCTTGGGCTTGAACCAGTGGCCTGCTGTGTCACCTGCTGATTGTGGGATTGCTGCCTTCACAGCCTGTAGGCCAACAATCTGCCATTTTACCTGCCGATCTTGGATTCATCAATCTTAGCAGCCAGCATATGCATGAGTCAGGAGAAGCCTTCGGCTTGCTCCAGTGAGCCTGGAAGGCAGAGGTGAAGACCAAGGTCGAGAGGCCTCCACCCAGCCCCTAGAGCCTGCACTCTGAAATTGGACTTCTAGCCTCCTAAATTTAAGAAAATAAGGTTCTGTTTGTTGAAGCCATCCACCTGTGCTATTTCTATTATAGCAGCACTGGAGAACTAAGACACACGGCAAATCTCCATTCTGAAATTTAAGCTTAATTAGAGCAGTGGATAAAATAATTTTCATCCTCTCTGGCTAGCTAAAAAATTACTCTAAGATATTAGCTCATAGGTTTTTAGGCAGTTTGAATCACATTACAAAAGTTTTATTTGCTATGTTCATTTTCAGATTCTTAGATGATAGTGATAACAGTTATTCTTGTTAGTTGTCATTGAGTTGATTCCAACTCATGGCAACCCCATATTGTTTTTATTGGGTGCCATCGAGTTGATTTTCAACTCAGAAAAAGCCCATGTGACAGAATAGAACTGCCCCATACGGTTTTCTAGGCTATAATCTTAATGGGAGCAAATCACCAGGTCTTTCCTCAGTGGAGCCTCTGGGTAGGTTTGAACTGTCAACCTTTCAGTTAGTAGCCAAGCACTTAACTGTTGTACCTCCAGATTTTATTAGCTGGCTTCTAATGTGACAGAATATATTTGATTTTATGACTAGTAACTCATTGCCCTCTATAGATCATAAATTAGTCTAAACATAATCTAGGAAAGTTAAATTCTTATTTTCCTTGGGATTTTTCTTCATTGTGGATCCATCTTTCTTGTCGTTTGGTAACTGCTATGGAACACATAAGATTACATCAGTCATTCTGCCTCACTTAAGAGTGTCCCAAGCTCCTGGCTGAAGTGTTCTCAACACAGTCCATCATCTTCCCAATTCTAAGTAGAAACTATAATTGTACCATCACTACAACCACTAGTTGTACTTTTTAATCTATCCTCCATTACAGCATGGTCATGTGTAAATACTGTTAGTTTTAAATACATTCTGATATTCAAATAGATTTAGAATCAGAGTTACAGACACACAGAAAAACAAAATTGGGGAGGGTCCTCAAAGAATTATCTAACCCAGGTCCTTTGATTTACCAGAGAGAATAATCTAGAACAGATCATTAGCTTTAAAGAAAGAACAGATCTTTCTTTAAAGTCTTGCAAAATACTCCATAATTCTCTTAGATGTTCAAGT